AAAGTGTTTCATAGAGCTTTTATTTGTTCAAATAACAATTAAGGTGAAACTTGGCTTATTTTAAATAATTTTTTTACTTTTAAGCTCTTTTGTTTGGGAAAGACAAAAAATGCTTTTAACTAACTAATTTTAGGCAAAAAATAAAGGGTACAAAACTAGAGCATGTTTGGATTGGCTTAAAAAAAGTAGTTTTTTAAGTCAAAAATAAAAAATGAAATTGAAATGACTTTTAAGTCAAAAAATATAAAGTATGGAGAGACCTACTTTTGGTTTTTGACTTATTCTAAGTCATTTTAAACTTATTTTAAGTCATTTTTTACCTTGCCAAAAACTTCCCAACTTATTTTAAATCATTTTTGACTTATTTTAAATTATTTTTTTATATTTGTCAAACACTTCCAGAAGTCAAAAACTGACTTAAAAGTAGGGTATGACCAAACTTTTAGCTTTAAATTATAAGCTACTTAAAAGAAGTCAATTCAAACACCTCCTTAAAAATGTCCCTCCACTCAATAATACCCTTATTGTTACTTAATGGATCAAAAATACCCATTTTGAACACAATTTTTTATTTAAAAAAAAAAGAGGCATATATTATCAATTCAAAGGTACATGAAGTTATTCTATTTTTAACTGATAAATAAGATTAATAAAAAAAATAATATTATTTTCTACTTATTTATTAGTTAAATAATTTTAAAAGAAAAGAAATAAGAATAAAATTATTTAAAAAAAATATTTTTACTAAGAATAAATTATATATTTTTAAATAGAGAAATTTTCAGAAATAGCAAACATGATATACATAATAAGACTCTATAGTTATATTTTCGATAATTACGCTTCATAGCTATAGTTTCTTTTGCTAAGGAGGTTGCGGTTGTATACTTCTGTCTGTTTGTATATTTCGCTTGCGAATATACAAAATAGGGCAAGTATATACAAAATTTGTATTTGTCCATTTAGACATTTTTCAGAATTCTATTTGTATATTTCGCTTGTCAATATACAAATAGGGTAATTTATCTTCATAAATCGTATACAAATAGCTAGAGTAAGCATATACAAAATTCTAAATTTATACAATTAGTAACCGAATTATACAAATTCTGAATTTATACAAATCAGACAAATTACACAAATCAGACGAATAGCAAAATTCAGTGAAACTATAATTGCGAATTAGAAATTCTCTAAACAGTAGCTATAACATTTAATATGGTTTGAATGTTTACTATTCTGCATAATTTTCCCTTTTAAATATATATTTACTATAAAAAAAGTTTTTTTTGAGAACAATTTTGGATCAAATTATTAACTGACGGTACTTTTATTTAATTTCTCATAGTTTAGATATTTTTGATCTTTTTATATTTTTTTTAAAGAAATAAATATAAGATACGTTTTGCCGATTATTTTTTTTCCAATAGTTGATTGGAACCACAAAATTTGAAAAATATTCACAAGTAGTACGTGGCAGCGCGTATGTGGAAGTCGGTTGTGGGGGCCCATAAAGCGAGTGGTTAGTTTAAACGAACGACCCATTCCCCCCATTGAAATAGGAAAAAAAAGAACATTCTAGAACAAATAACCCCACTCCATTTATACCCCTCTCTTCCCTCTCTTCAAACCCTAAAATCAGTTTTTACTCTATTTCACTCTCTTCTTCTCTCTACCGCCGCCGTTGTCGTCTAGCATTCTTTTATACATTTTTTTTATTTTTTTCCGTCGTCATGGCCGGGAAAGGTGAAGGTCCGGCGATCGGTATAGATCTAGGAACTACTTACTCTTGCGTCGGAGTTTGGCAGCATGATCGTGTTGAGATTATTGCCAATGACCAAGGGAACAGGACGACTCCTTCTTACGTTGGTTTTACTGATTCTGAGCGTCTCATTGGTGATGCTGCTAAGAATCAAGTCGCCATGAATCCTATTAACACCGTGTTTGGTAAGTTTTTACGTTTCAGATCTGTTATTTAGATCTTACATTTTTTTTGTTTTTTAAACTAGTGTTGTTGTTGATTAATAGTAGAGCTGTTGTTTTGAACTAAAGCTGATGCGATTTGTTTATATCTGGATTTTTTTTTGCTGGAGTTGTAGTCATGGAGTTTGTTTGGTTGGCTTTACTTATATTATTTTATCTGTTGGAAGCACTATCAATCTATATATGTCATAGATCTCGTTAGATGTAGGTGACTGTTCTAGAATTGTTTTAAATCTGAATTGTTGATATACGAGTTTGAGCCAGTAGTAGATAAGTACCACTAGATATAAGTACATGAAATCGAGTTGGCTTCTATGGATGCAGCTACATGTTTTAATAGTAATTTCATGATCATGTTTGCGTGACATTGCTATAGGGTGTTCCATCTAAATATGTAATCATTATTATGACTTTGTAATATGCTAGTTGTTTAATTGTATTCATGAATATTTTTTATGCTATTGACCTTTTCAATTCCTGAATCTGAATGTGCTGTTCGTGTTGTGTGTATGTGAATATAAATATTTGATTTAATAATGCTTACTGGGTTTTTACAATGGCAGATGCCAAACGTCTTATTGGAAGGAGGTTCAGTGATGCCTCTGTACAGAGTGACATCAAATTGTGGCCTTTTAAGGTTACTCCTGGACCTGGTGACAAGCCAATGATTGTGGTTAACTACAAGGGAGAAGAGAAACAGTTTTCTGCTGAAGAAATCTCTTCCATGGTTCTTATTAAGATGAAGGAAATTGCTGAGGCCTTCCTTGGGTCAACAGTGAAAAATGCTGTGGTTACTGTGCCTGCATACTTCAATGATTCACAACGGCAGGCTACTAAGGACGCTGGTGTCATATCTGGCTTGAATGTCATGCGTATTATTAATGAGCCCACAGCAGCTGCCATTGCCTATGGTCTTGACAAAAAGGCCACTAGTGTTGGTGAGAAGAATGTTCTTATCTTTGATCTTGGTGGTGGTACCTTCGATGTGTCCCTCCTCACTATTGAAGAGGGTATCTTTGAGGTGAAAGCCACAGCAGGAGACACTCACCTTGGTGGTGAAGATTTTGATAACAGAATGGTGAACCACTTTGTCCAGGAATTTAAAAGAAAGCACAAGAAGGATATCATCGGTAACCCAAGGGCCCTTAGAAGATTGAGGACAGCTTGTGAAAGAGCGAAGAGAACTCTTTCCTCCACTGCCCAGACAACAATCGAAATTGATTCCCTATATGAGGGAGTTGACTTCTATTCAACCATCACTCGTGCCAGATTTGAGGAGTTGAACATGGATCTTTTCAGGAAGTGTATGGAGCCTGTTGAAAAGTGTTTGAGGGATGCCAAGATGGACAAGAGCACTATACATGATGTTGTTCTTGTTGGTGGTTCCACCAGAATTCCCAAGGTACAACAGCTGTTGCAAGACTTCTTTAATGGGAAGGAGCTTTGCAAGAGTATCAACCCAGATGAGGCTGTTGCCTATGGTGCTGCTGTTCAAGCTGCCATTCTGAGTGGAGAGGGTAATGAGAAGGTACAAGACTTGTTGCTTTTGGATGTCACCCCTCTATCTCTTGGGTTGGAAACTGCTGGAGGAGTCATGACTGTCTTGATTCCAAGGAATACGACCATTCCTACCAAGAAAGAGCAGGTGTTTTCTACCTATTCTGACAACCAGCCTGGAGTGTTGATTCAGGTTTATGAGGGTGAGAGAGCAAGGACCAGAGACAACAACTTGTTGGGTAAATTTGAGCTCTCTGGTATTCCTCCTGCTCCTAGGGGTGTACCTCAGATCACAGTCTGCTTTGACATTGATGCCAATGGCATCTTGAACGTTTCAGCTGAAGACAAGACGACTGGACAGAAGAACAAGATCACTATCACCAATGACAAGGGTAGGTTATCAAAGGACGAAATTGAGAAGATGGTCCAGGAAGCAGAGAGGTACAAGGCAGAGGATGAGGAGCACAAGAAAAAGGTGGAGGCCAAGAATGCACTTGAGAACTACTCCTACAACATGAGGAACACTATAAAGGATGATAAGATTAGTTCTAAGCTTAGCGCAGAAGACAAGAAAAAGATTGAGGATGCCATTGATCAGGCAATTTCATGGCTTGATAGCAACCAGCTTGCTGAAGCTGATGAGTTTGAAGATAAGATGAAGGAACTGGAGAGCCTATGCAATCCCATAATTGCTAAGATGTACCAGGGTGCTGGTGGTGAGGCAGGTGCACCTATGGATGATGATGATGCTCCTCCAGCTGGTTCTACCGGTGCAGGCCCCAAGATTGAGGAGGTCGATTAAGTCCTAGTTTTATTTCTTAGTATAATAAACTATTCTATTATATTGGCTACTTTTTATGTTTTTGAACTATTCTATTACATTTTGGCTACTTTTTATGTCTTTGCTATGTTAGTTTATTAAGCTGTTGAATGTTTTCATCGTTGATGGCTCTTTCCATCGATTTTTAATTTTTTATCTATCCGTTGTTTGGAACTATTAGGCTGAAATTTTGTCTTTACAACTGGCCTACGACTTTGTATTATTGGTCTATATTTTCCAAGTTAATAGCGTAGAAAAGATATTCCAATTCTGGAATAAATAATTAGTTATTGAATGAAAATGTGATTTTCTAGAAAGATATTTGAAAAACAATTACAAAGCAGCTTATATGGGAAAGAAATAATCTGTTACAACACTTGGTATATAGTGTTCTTTTTTTTCATATAAAGTATAAACAAAACATTCTCGAGGACCTATTTCTAAGCGGATGATTTAATACCATAAAATTGTTCCTTGGAAGGAAATAAATCATTGGTTTCCGTTTCTCGAGTCACCAATCTTATTTAAAATTACGACAACAATCTAAATTTTTATATAATGATAAATTATTCATTTGTTTTATAAAAATGGAACAAGTAATGTTGTATGGTAGACAAAGATGGAGGGAGCGAGTACATTTCTAGTATGATTTTTACCACCCTAAGAGGAAATGGCCCATTTTTAAGTTGTACACAAATACTTATGAGTTAATTTTCATTGTAAGCCAAAAAAAGCAATTCCTTCTTATGTCCATTTCTGCTGGCACAAGTTTCTGCACTTTTATAAGACGAAAAGAAAGAAACAATTGATCAACTTTCTAAGGCGAAGATCCACAAATAAATAGCGTTGCGCAACTGCCTTTTGAGTCTGCTATTAATCAAGTACTACAGACCATCTCAGAAAAATGTTGGAGAAACCACCTCTGTATCTAACTTCAAAACATGCCCATCTGCAACCACACTCTCGATCCAAGTTACTTTCTTCCCCTGCTAAGCCTCTGCAGATGATAATTGATGCTACCCCAGGGCTTTCTGTTTTTGCCACTCTGCACAAAAGGTAATACAAATTAATCTTTTATGTGAAAAGAAGAGTTGATAGCAATATGCACTATTCAAGGCACCTGAGCTTCCATGCAGGTACTCAAAAGTGACTTTTGCCTGCCACATTTCTCGTCCTTGTTGTGATTTAAAGTCAAACAATTTAGAAACGAGACCATTTCTTTCGCGCAAGGTTTCTGAAGACTTCCAAAGTTCCTTGGGTTAATATATAAGGTGCCAGCTTTGCGTCCCATACTTCCTCAGATCTAACTAAATATAAAGAGGACGCTGTTAGACATGGCTTTAGAGGAAATCAAATCAGTAAAATCAACAGGCAGAAAACTCATATAACATTACAATGTTCACAGTTTGAGAGAAGCAGGAGAAACAACATTCCTGATGGAACAGAGAAGAAGAAACACTTCAACACTCTTTTGCAATCTACATTATTCCCAACTATCAAAACACTGCAAACCAGTGGGTCACAAGTTCTCAACTACAAAAGTACCCAAAGGGTCATGAGTATAGATGAATAAAAGGAGGTACATCAGTTATAACTACGAAAATGCATATTATGTTAAGCAGAACAACAAAAACTCCACTAGAATACAAGATAAGAAGTGAATATTGCAAGTTGCACCACTAGATGCTCATCAGAGTCAGACTAGCCTTTTCACTCATGAAATATTCAAATAATGTTTTTGTTTTTTACAGAAAGCACATTCAAACTTCACAGTGACAGTAGTTTGGCTGTGAACAGTCAGATTATTGCCTTGATTGTTTCTAGAAAGGCTACAATGTTTTCCTACCCTGCAAAGTTGGAAGTAAAGCTTATTTCAAGTATTTTCTGCAACAATTTTATCAAACAAAGAAATTTGGAAGAGAAGCAACAAATACTTTCATTTGACAGATGCTTGGCAGGTCATGCTTTAAACTTTGGTAACCTGATAGCTTCTGCAAATTAGCTACTACTATAGAACTTCTAGACCACAACCAACGCAACTAATCTGCCTCTTTCTCATGGATGCTAGACTTTTTTCTACCTACAACAACAAACCCAGTGTAACCCCACTTGTGGTTTGGGGAGGGTGGTGTGTATGGAGTCTTACCACTCTACCTTGTGGAGATAGAGAGGCTAGACTTTTTTCTACCTATTGTTTCTATTTTTTAGCGCATTTCTGACGAGGGTAATTATACTTTACGGATCTACACTTCATCGCAAGGTTTCCCACCAATGAACAGAACGGTATCCAATATCTCCGCATGTTGAGGGGAGAGTGACTGTTACTCTCCAGGGGATAGAGATTTCCAAGTCAATTAGTTTGACAAGAGTGACATAGACTGGTCAGTTGCTTCCCATGAACTGTTCACCGCAAAACCATACCTTATGGAAGTAAATTTCATGTTCTGCTTACAACACAACCCTCAAGGCAATAATAAGAGCTTTTTCTCATGGTAAAGGATATTGGGAGCCCATATTCTTTCTCCCGAGTTAGTCATGAAAGATTTTAGTGCCTAAAGTTTCAAATGCAAAAATTGTTTCAAAAGTTGAAACTCAACTCATTGCCTTTTGATTAATAGAGATTTTGAACTCTCCGAGCATGGGAGATTTTTATACATTACAAACATTCAATGACAATTAGTTCTTTTTTGATCCATGACACCAGGTAAACTAAGAGTCAACACTCACAAGTCTAACATTATGTTTAAGACAAATAGTGATCACAATGCGAGGCTTCTCATCTCCTCCATTTGCTTAGGGGTGAAACCAACTCTATTTCCAGAACTTTTAACCAACTAACTAGATCCAATATAAGAAATAAAATCAATAATGTCAACCTATTAAAGTAGATTTTGGGAAATGATAGGTAATCTTTCTATCCCCACCAAGTAAGGTAGAATAGGTGACATTGACAAGAATAAGAAAATGAAGAACCTCCTCCTGCATTTGCTAGTAAAAAAAGGCAGACACAACAACTATGTCTCAATCCCAAACAAGTTCAGGTCCACTATATGAATCCTTGCTTATCTATATAAGCTTGAATCGTGTCATCATCATATCAATTAGAGATAAACTGGAAAACAAGTGATATATATAATAATATTAAAAGTACTCTAACAAGACTACATCATATTCCGCACTAGTAAATGTCACCTATATGGATTTTTTTTCTTCTTTATTCCCTACCTTTAGCCAAATCTGCATTGATCTCAAAAAAATGCAGGTCTTTCAAGACAACTTTCTCCCATGTAATTTTAAATCTGCCTTGTTCAATCTTAACACCTTTACTAACAATAGTATCACACATACAGACTGGCGCATCAGTAGATCGATGCATGCAGGACATGACAAAACAATCTCAAGCGACTTTCTCTTATTCTATCCTCACTGCGTTATACTTTCACCTTCTAGCAAATATGGCCATTTTCATCTTATCTAATTTTGTATGGCTGCACGTCCATCTTAGCATCCGCATCTCTACAACACTCATCTAGTGAGCATGTTGGACATGATGCATGCATGCAGGACATGACCAAACCATCTCAAGTGACTTTCTCTTATTGTATCCTCATGGCATGCTACTTTTACCTTCTAGCAAATATGGTCATTTTTATCTTTTCTAACTTTGTATGGCCGCACATCCATCTAAGCATCTGCATCTCCACAATACTCACCCAGTGAATATGTTGGATTATAACATCCCAACAATCACTACCATATCACACTGCTCTTATAATTGTTCTGTAGAACTTCAATTTACTTCGGTAGCCATCCTTATATCGCATAACTACTCATTAGTCTATGATGCAAGAACCCTTTCGTATTTTTACAAGTTAGGATACTAGACAATCAACAATCAACTACCACAATAACTACCTAACTGGTGCTTCAACATTACATTTGTAAAAGAGTTGGATTGATAACTTAAAGGATTATTTCCAGCAAGACATATCCTTTAAGGTTGGCAGTTCTATGGTATTTTGGAAAGATAAATGGCTTGGTGACTCCACTTTGTAAGTCATGTACCCATCTCTTTTCCTATTAGCCATTAGTCCAAACTCCACAGTGGAGCAAACCAGATCAAGCAACACATGGGATATTCAATTTAGAAGGAATATGCAAGATTGGGAGCTACATGATGTATTTGACCTGTTGAGAAGATCAAAACGGTTGTTCAGTTGATAGCCAATGCTCTGACAGATGCAGTTCCAACTTCCAAGGAGGGTATATACAGTGTAAAGGAAGGTAATCGCAGAATGAAGTTATTGATCTATGGCCCTGGAGGCTGGAAGTTAATTTGGAGAACAAAGTTACCCCCAAGGTAAGTAGTTTCACTTGGACAGCACTGAAAGGGGCCATCCTGACTCAAGACAATCTATGTAGAAATTTTCAGCTTGTTGGATAAATTTTACATATGCTAGTCAAGCTTAGAATCTATCAACCATCTTTTTTTGCACTGCCAGTCGCTGGAACATGTTCCTATCCGTTTTTGGTTTCAGTTGGGCACGACCCCAGAGTATCAAGGAGGCAGATGAAAGTTGGGAGCTTTTGGAAAGTCAGGAAAGCCATCAAGAACAACTGGCAAATGATCCTAAGTTGTATTTTTTGGTGTGTGTAGACAGAAATGAATAGAAGGTGTTTTGATGGGGTTTCAACTCCTAACTCAGTATTTAAGGCTAGGTGTCTGCTACAGCTTTTCCATTAAAGTAGTTATATGCTCCTGCAAATGATGTTGTTTCTTTTGTAGATCTCATTGGCTCTCTGAGCCTGGCTTAACAGCCTACTTTTGCTTTTGGTTAGCTCCTGACCTATAGAACTTTGTCTTTGAAGCTAACATCACTTTTGTATTCTTTGCATCTTCTTGAGGCCAGCAAACAACATTTTACTTCATTGAGAAAAAAGAGTTGGATTGAACTAATTGAATTTTTTGACTCCATTCGACTTGTGTGGGTCTATAAAAATTAAAACTTCAATAAAAGATGGATGGTACAAGCTAAAATCTAAAGAATACTGAGTACAACACCAAGGTTTTCTCATACTCATGTCTTCTTATGGTTAACTTATTGCCTATTTACAGAATTCACATTCCTCAAGGTTTCTCAAACAAGTCGGAGATCACCCATCATAATCAAAGAACTAAATTTACCCATTTGAGGTACTAATTTAAAGCTTCGCAGTGAAAACTTTTGTTAAAAATCTACAACCATGTATCAGATATTAATTGACCTCTAGACTTTAACCATGTCATCCCCAGATTTATCTTCCATCAATGAAATGACACGGAAAGCTTCATTTATAATTTCACAATTAGAATTGGCTTCATGTATCAGGAGAAACCACCATTCTGAGAAATCACTGTGTGGAGAGTTGTCATGTGGATAGACAAAAGAATCAGGATATCAAATGTATAGTACTTGGGTGTAACCTAACAGACAAAGAAATAGTTTAAAACCATGGGATAGAGAAAAAAAAAAACTAGGTAGTTTATCCCCACCCTCCTAAACATTTGCCAGCAGAGTTACGCGTTATTTGTGCTAGCAGGAGGTAGCAAGTTTCTGCTCGAATAATCTAAGTGCAGGCAAGCTATCTCAAACACCACTATTATGAAAAATGCTACTGAATAAGTAGTAGCATGTGAACTAGAACAACAAGCTAAAGTATTTCTGATAATTTACAGAACAGGCATATAAACTAATCATTCAGTTGAGGTTATCCCACTCCCACTTATTCTTCAAGAACTAATAATTGCTACCTAAAAAACAATATAATAATCTTTCTAGTATATACAGTTCTTCAGTATTAGAGAAATTAACTATAAACTTCTCAAACATAAAACCTTGTGAAAAAAATTAAAACCTAGAATCTTAATAATGTGAATTTATGAATTTCACCTAATAATACAATGATAAAGGCGCCATATTTATCAATATTTCATTTGAAAATCAGTTTTCACAAAACTGATAGGAAAAAACTCAAATCTAGATTACGTAACTTGGGAAGAAAATAAACAAAAAGCATTTTAAATCATAATAATAACTAAGTAGTATACAAAACCGATTTGGAGAGTTTCTTACAAGTGAATTCGCCGGAGAAAATGAGAGAAGCGAGTTCGCCGGAGATGGAGAGTCTAGAAAGTTCGCCGTGAGGGAGGAGATCGAGAATCGGAGGAAAATAACTAGCAACATATTGGGCCGGAAATCTATTGGACTTTGGGTTTTGTTATTAATTTTAGCCCATGAGTTTGAAACCCACAAGTCCATTTAGCATGAAATAACACCCAACCCAATAACTTTAGGAGTGGATGACTCTCGAAATTTACAATATAATTAATAACTTAAAAACTTACTAGAAGATATATAAAAAAATTGAATGACTCTCGAAATTCTATCAATACCACATAAATTGAAACAGATGAAGTAGCATATATTATCTAAAAATTATGTAAAAAATATTATAAATCACAATAATTAATAATTTAAATATTTAAAAATCATATTAAAATTTGATCAACTTTCCAAATTTCATCTATGTCACACAAATAATAATAATAAAAACATATATTAAACGCGTGCTAGCACAAGCTTCACTATCTAGTAAATCATATATGGGATATCAGTACAAGCCCAAAACAAAGTATCTCACAATACATGGATATTTGAACTTTGAAACTATTTGATACTCCCTCCGTCCCATTTTATATGTCACATTTTTACTTTGCACTTGCATTAAAAAATGATGTAACTTTACCCTTCTACCCTTATTTAATGTTTTCTTAAGTCAACTTTATAATAAATGATGAATACATTTTCAAGATTAATTAACTACTCTATCAAGGGTATAATAGGCAAAATATGGTAATTTATGCATAAATTTTATAAAATGACAAGTATTGTGGGATAACTATTTATGGAAAGGAATGACATATAAAATGGGACGGAGGGAGTATTTATTTTCAATTATCGATTACTGAAATTGAATTTTGAAAATACTAAATCAAATATCAATTACTCACTTCTATTTATACAAAATACATGATAAAATAGCAAAATGACAAAACTATGTTTATCTTTTTTCGTAAAACTCATTACCATTTTTGATAAATGAAAAATAAATATTTTAAATAATATCTTCTATATTCAATTCTAGTCAATAAATCAAATCAAGAAATTAATCTCTATATTAATATAACCAAATCCTATATACTAATTATTCAATTATAAGGTTCCACATTGTAATAAATTCCTTTAGAAAATGTCCATTTTCACACTTTGCACGAAGTATACTCAACATGAACACTTTTACCAATTAAATGATGTTAAAAGTTGATGTGTTACCTTTTTATCTTTAAATAACTATATATTCTAGTTAGAGGAAAATGATTCTTGTTTTGGCCCAAATATTCCACTACTATCATTATGATATATGTCCATTAGTTACACAACAATCCCATTTGTTTACACTTGAATTAGATAAACCATAAATCATATGATGTAAACTTGTAAAGTTAAGTAAATATTTTTATTATTAGAGAAAATTAGGACAACTCCCCTTATAGCACGCAAACATATATATAAATGTTTCTACACTTTGAAGCCAAGTTTTGTCAAAAAGTCTCAACAAACTAATTAACAAGTCAATTCTTTCAATTCAATGCAAGCTGTAAAACCTATTTTTTCCACAAGTAAGAAAACTAGATTTTGTTCAAATTCTAATCCACTTCCAACTGTCAACCATTAGCTAACTTTTTTTTTTGTTTTCCACTGGTGTCCGGAGTCCACATTGGAGCTCCGACTAAATCCCAATCGAGCAACAAAATTTTTGAGGGTGGCACTCCAACAAGATTTTCTCCATACTCAGGGCTCGAACTCGAGACATCTATTAAGGATAAAACACTCCACCAATGCACCACAACTCACGTTGGTACCATTAGGTAACTTACTACAACTACAGTTATCTTTCCCTATCAAATGGGATTTAAAGAATAAAAAAATATTTTTTAATGAAAATTTTCATGTTTGAGATTCGAATTCAAAATCTTATTCTTTTGTGACGAACCTTATTGGTGAAAAGAGAGAGAAAAAAAGAAGAAGTTACTTCCTGATTGATTCCCTCTATTCTCAAGCTCTTTTGGCTTTATAATATGTTCAGATTTTTGGACAATTTGTCTTCATCTTTATTCACCATTCGATTCAATTTATTTGTCTAATTTTAACTTACACAAAATTTAAAAGAGTAAATAAGACATTTAAATCTTATGATTTAAACTAAAACTATACTTATAATATAGTAATATACCATAATATCGTTTAATTATGTAATTTTAAACATGTCATATTAAAAAAATTAAATTTAAAGAGTTATCCAAAAAGAAACTAGACATGTTATAATCAATACAAGATTTATAGTTTTCCATTTTACTTGGCCCTAAATTGTTGCATGAATTGGCCACAACTTGTCATTCATCTTTTTTCATGTTCAAATGTTGGGTTTGTGGGGTCCTTGGAATGTGTACCATAGCTAGCCAACATTCAACAAAGTGCACGACCAGCTAGCCAACAGAATCACAATCCCACTATGCTTTCATTTATGTGTGTACTTAAAACCGTTTAGAATCAAACTAGCTTTATCGAGATCATTAGTAGGTCTGGTTCAAGAATTGCATAGATTGACGGATTTGAAGATTTGTTCATATCATAACAATAACATATTCAGTAGTTATTGAGTGAAGTCTCATAATTGAAGTCTAAGGAGAATAGAGTATACGTCGATCTTATCACTATCTTAAGGAGATAGAAAAACTATTTTTGAAAGACCTTCGGCTTAAGTGTAGCAAATTAAATTCAAGTACAAAGAAGAATGAAACCAACATAGCAACTAATAAAGCAAACAATACAGAAAAAAATAAGAACAACAAAATAATACGATAATCAAAACATAACAAACAACATATATATATATAAGAAAATTTGTCCATTCATAATGAAAATTCTTCCGATTAAGTTTCAACTATTGATAAGACCGTTAATGCTAGTCAACTATTGGATGTACTCTTCATATCATTAGATTGTTAGGGGCTTAAATTAATGGACCAACATGAATTATGATGATTAAATATAAGCTATAACCCCAACTTACTAGGAATTTAGGCATTATAATTTTTGTTATATGGTATGTCACTTGGCCTAAGAATATAATTGTGGCAGATATATTCAAGAATCCTAGCCCATAGATTTTAGTGACAGAAATTAAATATAGGCAAAAGTGTTTGTCATAACCCCAAAAGATAAAATTATGTCAGAGTCTGGCCTTTTGGCACTACACATCATTTGTAATTCAAATTTGAATGAATCAAAATAGCTGCATGTGAAAGACCTAAAAGAGTTTTTCTTTGTGGTCCTTTTTTTGTTTTTAATTGCTCTTATAATAAGGTAAAAAAGAGTAGTAATTACCCACAAAATGGACCACATCTGTTAAGTCAAGTCCTCTCAAAATTAACCTACCATTTCACAGTAGATTTTCAAAAAAATTATCAATATGTTTGACATATGTTGTTATTGTGTTTTCGATTATCAATATTTTATTATTGTTAGTGTTTTTTTTCTTTTAGAGTTTGCACTGTTTTTTTTAAGTAATAGCTACATTGTTTTTATTGTTTCTTTTTATTTTACTTGAATGTGATGTACTTGTGTCAAGGGTCTTTCGAAAATAGTCTCTCTATCTCACATGATAATGATAAGGTTTACGCAATGACAGAACCACATATAGTTGAGGGGTGTCGACTGACATCCCTTCGTCAGAAAATTATATTGTGTAGCTAGAATACAAATAATTTTTACGTATATATATATATATATATTACATATTGATACTCCTTGACTTCTACACGCTTTTACTTCTTTATATTTTCATACACCTTATGGATTTGCGTACACTATATGGCTATACCCTCTACAAACCCCACTTTGTGGAATTTCACGGAATTTATTGTTGTTATTGTATCTTCAAATGTCTGTTCGATCATAAAATTTAACCTTCAAATATTTTTAAATATCCCAAAACTATCCTATCAACTTTCCACCATTCATTCAAGAAATAGGATCACAACTTAAGCCTTGTTTCTTCCTCTTTCCCATCTTGCAAGTAGATACAAGTTCAAATTTTTTGACATTGAACTTTGGTTTTAATATGTGAGTGACCACTTTTTTGGCCGAATTGCGTGATGACAATGACATTTCTTGTTTTATTGGCAAAAGTTCCAAAAGAAAAGAAAAAAAAAACAAGTCACAGATCACATAACTTGTTTTCAACTTCAGGACTTTGCCTTTTTCCTGTGGTCTGAACATGGCTGCTTCCATAGGGCAATGCCAGTGTAAACTTTAGACTTACGAGTCGTTTAGCATGAGATATAAGGTATAATAATCTCAGAGATAAACTGCAGGATTATTTTATCTTGCATTTGATTGGAGGTATTATGCAGTCTTGGTATTATTAATCCTGCCATTTATACCTTAGTGATCGGATAAGTTATTCCATATACATGGTGGAATAACTTATGCCATGATAACTTATTCCGAGATAATTAATTTTGAGATAACTTGTTTCCAACCAAACAACACTTTAATATATAAGCATCTCGCTAAACTTTTTGAGATATTCCATTTAGACATTAAAACTGATCATTATTTCGATTGAACATCTCAATTCCTAATAACTTGTTCTAGTTAGTCTCTTTCGGTTCATATTCTTGGAAATCTTTTTGTGCGTGTTCTCATTTGCTTATTAGGTAATTAAGTTAATCAATACATACAAAATTCACCTCAATAAGCCATAAACCCCAATACATTTTTTCCTACTTGAAGTTGATGAACATAATTAAAAGAACTAACTATTTAATAACCAAATGAAAATACACGCAAAAATACTTTCAAAATTTGAATCAAAGGTGTCCATCGGAACACTTTATTAGGAATTGAAATATTCACCTACAACATGACTTAATTAGAGTGTTTATATACAAGTTTAAGAGTCTGACTTACTAGGTATTAAGCCAAAAATTTACCTATGGCCTATCCTAATGCCCCCCATGTGGCTTTCCTTTTCCTAATGGTACACTGAATTAACAAGAGAAACTCCTACCATAAATGGTTAAGTGTTTCTTGGAATAAAGAAAGAGCATTTTTCTTTA